CATCTTGAATGTACTACGTGTTAGAAAATGGTACGTGGTAACTATGGTGTAGACACGCTATCACCACATATAACAACGAAATTTGGATTTGGTAAAATATCACACATGTATTAATCAAAACAACCGAGTGTATATATAAGTCTCTGCTGTATCAGCCAAAAGACGCAAGAAGAATCCAAGAGCAATCTTAAATGGCTCTGCCAAAGAAACACTGTAGCAGATCCGGTGCAATCGATAAGGCAAATACAATGTGGACCTGGTGCTTAATATATAGTTTATAACATGAAGCTTCGTGTGAACTGCAAAGATTTAGTTTGAAATGTCAGGGCAATGACAGAAGCGTGACTCCGTCCTCGATATTTGCTATTTTTCTAGATGATAAAGCGTAAACTTGTAACGTCGAGCTCCCGAGTATGACTCTAGTTGTTTTGTGTTTTCTATATCTATTTCAAACATCCAAATGTCCTACAAGTATGTGATTAGGTAAAATGTATCGCAGCGTGTGCTTTTATAGAACATTTCCATTTGAATAGGGCTTAAACAAAATATTTCACAATTGCGATAATGGTAATGACTACATGTATATTTGAATTGAATTTGTTTGTTCCCTTCATCTTAAAGGAATCTACATATTTGCGAAGTGACCATACGATTAAGATTCTACACCATATCGACTCATAAGAATTTGGAGACCCATTTCATACAAATTAGTGATCCGTGATATTATTAGTTACACGGATTTTTGGCAGGGTATACGGGATGGTATGACCCTAAAGGGTTTCGTATTTCCTGAGGCCGATAGGCCGAAGGAAATACGAAATCCTGTAGGGTCATACCATCTCGTATACCCTGCCAAAAATCCGTGTAACGAATTTATTACCCCTTTGAGTCTTTTATATTGGTTTTGTACAGTTCCCCGTCAACTTTTCTGTTGTCAAGATAAAAATGGCACAGAAGATCTACCTCATTTAGTTTCGTTTTATCAAATTCCTCGAACTGTTCTTCCTGATTCTTTTCTTTTAAATACGTCCTCAGCATGTTTGCCGCTCGTCTGTTCCACTTTTGTGTGTTTTGTGGCACATAGTTAGCCCTTTTGGCGAGTATTTCCTCATCAGTATGCGAAGCGAAACGTTTTGTCATTTTGTAAACATCGCCGGAAGCAGACGACTAATGCGAGTTGTCTCCCAATGCCCGGCCGCAAGATACAAAGACACGTGACCGGTATACCCCTTGTAAAAGCACATGATTCCACCGTATTACTGCTGAGAATCACGTGACATGACCGTATACCCCTTGAGATTTACGAATGCGGTTTGGTACATTGTAGTTTTTAACCAATCAGATTCCTAGATTTTTCTCAAAGGGGTAATAAGACGTGTGTATCCCTGAGACAGATGTTTCTCTTACCCTGGACAGATTTATCCTTACTTTTACCGGTGTGAGATTTCCTTGTCTCACCCTAGGGTTGAGACAAGCTACACGTGCTCTTTGCACGTTCTCCACAATAAACCTGACGTCACTGATGTGACCCAGAAGAAGAACTACTTTTATGAGGTCACACACATACACAAGTTCGTCTGCCAATCTTGTCGTGTTTACATTTGACATTAAAGAAGATGGATTGATTTTAAAATGTTTAAAATATGATGCGTGAACCGTCTGACGCATACATATAATATTAATACGCTATCCACGTGTTCCTGTTTACAAACAATATGCTTCGTCTTACACTTGGACAGGAACAACAGGGTAAGAGAAATATAATCATTCACCCCCTCGGGGATGAGATAGGGGGATCTGTTTGGCAAATTAAGAAACCCCCCCCCCCCCTCGGGTTGAGATCCCCCTATCTCATCCCCGAGGGGATGAAAGATTTTATTAGTCATGTACCTCACCTTTATAACAGAGTGTATGATTGAATGGTACTGATCACTTGACTGGGCAATACTATATCATATCTCCCTAACATGCTCGAGTCTTGCCCGATTGTATTGCCCTTATTCGGATTGTTTTCTAGAAACAAAAGGCATAGCCACCACAACCGAGTTCCGCATGACTGAAGCAGCGTGAACATTTACATCTTTCATATTGTATTATTGTTTTATTTCGGCACAAAAATGTGTATTGTACCTGTGGTAGGGAAATACTATTCGTTGTTTCTCCAAGATTGGTCATGTTTAACGAGAGCGAACATTCCTCGGGAAACAGGATTAACCACGGACAATCGCAGAATCGTTCCCCTACAACACGGGCAATGCATTTTATCCACTTGCTTTGTATTGCCAACTAAAATTAAACCTTCGCAACGATGCATAATGGATGCATACTAATTTATTTATAATTATAATCAATATTCTACAAAGCTCTGACTACGCATGCGCAAATGAAGTGGCGCATCATCCTTCGCTGCCTTTGTACACGGTCCAGATATTGACCGGCGGTTAAACAACGACCGCTTCTGCTGATTACTGCGGTTGGAATTTGGTGTAGCATCTACGTCATTTCCTTCTGCGCATGCCTGTAATGACGTGGGCATTCCCTGGTTTGTATTGCTGTCTTCGGTGTTAGGTAGTTGCATGTTAGTGACCATATTCTGGTTCATCTTTATCGGATGTCGATGAGCGGAAGTGACGCTGTTATAGACGTCACTGTTTCTAGGTCCACTCTGTCGGAAAGAAAAAAAATCATTACTCACTATGTTACCTTAACTTCAAGTTAAAACACTAAGAGTTATGATATATAAACAAAATCACTGCGTTTTGTAACTTTTCAAAATTTCATCGGGGGAATAAATGTACTGTTTGGTTGTGCTCGTGTCTTGCAGCACGAAAGAATGGATAGCTGTGTATATGTCGCCTCGACATGACCACTATTTTTTTCTATGGCTGAAAAATAAAAGGACAACTGACAGTGTATAAAGAATACCTTTCCCTTTATTGCCAGAAGACAAAAGAAGGAGAAGAACAAGAAGAACAAGAAGAAGAAGAAAGAAGAAGAAGAAAAAGAAAGAAAGAAAACTACGTAGGTTAAATTAACTTAAATGAGATTTTACGTTTTCTTGAAATACATACCCCAAATTCGTCCCTCTCCGACTGTGACTTTAGCAGAGCGTTGCTATTGGTCTTGATGCTCGACTTCTCATTTATGGTATTTGCATTTTCTATTGCATAACCGGAAGCGGAACAAGAATACGTGCTAGCGACATACTGACCTCCGTTGTACGGCGGCGGGAGCTGATCCTGGGTAGAAAATGACTTCTCCGGAAGATGCCTTTGTCCTTGAAAATTCGATCCACTTTCCTCGCATGCACAAGAAATTGAATTACCTCTATGATCGCCATGGTTACCACACATATAATTCATTTGCTCTTGACTACAACAACAGCCTGACCTACGTCGTTGACAGTTGCATTCCGAATGGCCTTGAAACACGGATGAACATCTGGTGAAGCCCTGACATTGACCATCACTTGTTTCGAATGGAAATGGTGTCGATTGGCTAGCTGTTATACCTGACTGGGCGATCGGAAAGTTCATGAACGTAGGTCTGCGTTGAGGAAGGAAATGCGAGGATGTGTATGGGGGAGGTTCGAGGGAAGAGGAAAGCTTGTTAGAAACTATCTTATTAGGATCTGGGAAGATATGAACACTGCCGTCGGAATCACGTCTGATTGATACGTTATTTCCGGTAGCAGATGCGCGATTCGTTGATAAAACGGATATTGGCATTTCTCTGCCTCCCTCCGAAGCGGAGCTGGTATCAAGTTGCACATCAGCTAGATTTCGGACGGGTCGACGGGGTTTCCTTTTCCGCAGGACTCTGATTTCATGCGCTACCCAACTGGCGAAAAAGATGAGGAGGAGCTGCAAAGCAAGTATGAAGAATTCAGAGCTCTTATCCTGATTCAAGTGCATGTACAATTTCATTAATTCATTTTGTAATTTTTATATAATATATTTTTTTGTTTGAATTTCATAGAATAAAATAAAAATAAAAAAAACATTTATTTACATGTCATATTAAGGTCTGAGGTACATCCCCCCAAAACATCTTCGGATTCGAAAATATACCTCACTTATGAATATATAACATAAAATACAATATGAACGCATACAGATTTTGTACTTTAAACCACGGAATTAGATTAGACTAAGTCCGTGTTTAAACCAATGGAAAATCGAAGTCATTAATGATCCAGTTACATTAATTCAGTGGTGGAGTTCCCTCGGTATACTGTCTTCGAACGATAGGTATAATTGACAAATAGTCGAGGTGTAATAACAAAATACATGTAGTAAGCAAGCTCCTGTGATACAGAATCACGTGATGTGTGTTTGTGACGTACAGTACCTCGAATAATCCTACCCCCGTGGCACACGTGATGATCAGCGTGTTGTGGCTGTACACTTCATCCCAGATAGAATTGTAGCATCCCTGTAATACAACATATTGTCCTGTGATGAGGCCAAAACATAATTTTATATTTCTAAGTTACGAAATTTTTGAACTGAAGACGAAATACGGGATTATTATATCCCTTTTTATTTTATTTTTCCTCAGACCAATCGAAGAAACAACAGAACTACTAAATAGTCACCTGACGATAATTAGAATTCTGATTTGTAGGATTTGCTGCACATGCATAGTTGTTCCTCGTCCTTACTTCCGGTTTACAGCAGGCCAGGGGTGTCAATAAAGGAACGTCGATGCTACCGTTGGTTTGAACAAGTTTTGGCCATTGCGCTGCTCTGTAGAAATCGCTAAAGCCGTCAACACCACAACAGGAAAGCTGAAAAGAAGAAAAGAAATTCAAGTCGCTCTATGACATGCGGTGTCTTAACTTATACACAGCTGGCAAAAACATTACTGGCAAGTGCCACAGACTGTCAAATATTCAGAAATAAGTTAACATCAAAAAGGCCCTGACAACTTTATTGCGTTTAACTCCATGCTTACGCTTTTTGTTTTATTCCTGTAAAGAATAAAACCCGTATTAAATCCGATTGAAGACGATTTAAAAGATATATATATATAAATGTAGATATAAATATAATTAACAGGTTTACCTTTATCATGATGAAGTTAAAGGCGACGGACACTACGTCACTTCCGTCGAAGCCTGCGTACTGTGTGTTGATCAGATCCCTTAGTGGAGCTTTCAATGACTCGTCTACCTTTATAAGGTGTGAACAGATACCATTTTATAACACCTCAACCAAAAACACCAACCTGAATGTTTTGTTTTCAAATAAAGATATATAATATATTGATGCTACTACTGCTATTAAGATAACATACACTGTACTCCTCACATTAACTTCACTACCCCCCAACCACAAACTCCTGCCCCTCGTTCTCTAGGCATGACTTTCCAGATACAGTATTCCGTCTTTGCGTATTGCAGAGTTATCTTCTCTTGGGAACAGGTATTGATTGTTACGTTATTGGTTTGTGCGAGAAAATACGTCGTTTTCTCAAAAAATGACGACGTTACTCTCACAAACAAGTGACGTAACAATCAATCCCTGTTCCCAAGGGAAGATAACTCTGCAATACGCAAAGACGGAATACAGCCTCCAACATATCTCCTCTCTATCTCCCTGACTACCATAGACTGGCCTATGTATGTATGAACACCTGTTGCCCCCAAGTCGCCCCGGGGACGCGGTTAACATGTCTTTGTACGAGATTTGTTTGACAGCGGTGCACTGCACTGTTTTATAACTAATTATCACAGTCATGCCTTGAGACACGACACTACATCCCCCTTTCTACCCTTTATATAAACATTTTGATTTGAGGTTACAGTACCAAAACTAAATTTATCTTTACAGCACATGCGCGCACAGTATCTACAGACAGTAATCGCTCCATCCTTGGAGATTTTTCTCTTTATGAAAGAAGAAGAATAATCTCCTGAAGCTGTCGTTTACATGTAAACAAGTAAAACTGTATCATACAAAACATATATTTGCTTGATTTTGGTTGATGTATAAAATATTCACATAGGACATTGAAAAAGGATGTTATAGTAATGATGTGATAACCTGTGGCCAACTAATCCTATTTTATCTGTAAGGGACTGCCTAGCCAAGATATCACAACTTATCATCACAACATAAAACAGCGATCAAAATCAGTTGCTGTGACCAATTGTTATAACAGGTTGCAATAAAATAGTATAAATTTACGCTGAGATGTACCTTGCTTCGGAGTTTGAACATTACAATTAGAAACACCAGCTCCGCTATCACGAGTGTCCCAATCACCGAGGCGTACTGAAAAAATCAATCACCCTACTAATAAATCAACCAATCCACTAATCAATAAATCAATTAAAATAAATAAATAAATCACTCAGCTAATAAATAATTAAATTAACGAAGCAGTCAATTAATTAAATAAGATCAATCAATCAAATCATCCTTCGATCAGTTTAAACGGTATTAGACATTTAGCATATGATTTCTTGTAGGAAACATCTCAGATATTGCTTTTCTACAGAGCATTTGCATTCAATTTTTGTTTCTGTTTTGTCTTAGAACGTGTTCGACCTGTAAAGATGAAGAGATCCACTTACCATAATGAGAACAGTTTCATTTTTCGATTTTATCCCATACAATCCAAACATTGCAACAACACAGAGTATTACACCGATTGATATACAACCGTCAGCTGCACTGTCTATTATACCGGCTAGGTCAAAGGTCGAAAGGTCAGTTCCTGTTAAACCGGAAGAGGTAGTTGCAGCCTTGACCCCGTTGAGCAGTGCATCGGAAACAGCGTGTATAGCTGTCTGTTGTGTTTTCAGTAGAAATCCAGCTATTACCACCAGGACACCGACTACCTGTAAAGGTAAAATACCGACATGATTTGTAGCAGACTAATATGACAAAAATACATAGAATACATTGTACATCTTCATTGAACGACAGAAAAACCTAACATGCGGATGAACACCATCTACGAATCTATGCGAAGCAATGATGTGTACGTTGTGATTGATTGATTGATTGATTGATTGATTGATCGTTTTTACGTCCGCTTTACTACCGAGTAGTTCGGTTATCCATCAGACTTGTACATTGTTCATATCCGAGCAATAAATAAGTTCCACCTGTGACGTCATGAATATAGAAAGGGTTTTTCGGCAGAAGAAATTAATTTCCTTTTCCTCTTCAACATGCCAATATGTCTCGTAGGAAGAATCGGTGGCTCTGACAGATGAAGTTCATAAAAAACACTGAAAGTTCCCCTGTTTTTGACATAAATGTGGATTTGTTTATTTTTATTAAAGTCAAAGTTATGACATAATAAAAGTTCAGTTAAACGTTTCCAATTTCGATTTTGACAATGAAGATCACATTTGCGTAAATATACAATAAATCGTAATATTTTAATAAATTGTTCTTTATCTAGCGAACTATGCATGCATGTTTTATTAGTGATTAGCGATTCAGTAGATGCTATTCCATTACTGATACTGTAGCTTCGATTCGCGGAAATAGTATTCTAGGAAAAAATTAAAATCGCTAATTAATCTCTTCTCGTATTGAAGCGACAACTACATGTAATTTCCCATGAAAATATAGTTATAAATCCCACATGAAATATCGTTTATAAGAATGTATATATGCCGATCAGTATTATAACAGTTGGTGGGGAAACATGCTCCGCCTACGTGGAAAATGACCACTCACATGACTCTCAATCTAAACGGAAACAAATTATATTATACAAAAAATATATCTTGATCTCTTCTTTGTTCCCCCTCTTAACTACAAGTCTTTCTTGTCATTTGTATATTTAAGTAGCTCTAACATTGCGTGATATGTATTTTAATCAATTAAACTTTGTCGAAGAGAACTTTAATAAGTTGGCAAACATTCGTTTGCAATATTTGTTATTTGCAATAAAATATGTTTAAATCAAAACGCTTTTTTTTTTAATAAAAGATAAACCGGAAGTGAAAACAACTATAGTCTGGACTGTTAAATCATGTATGTTATGACGAACTAAAATGTATAACAAACAAAACGGTACTTACGATGACGACGATGTTCATCGCCAACAGAAACCTGCGCCCGGTATTCCCGACACAGCCTATGCGATGAACCTTTCCCAGGTCTGTGGTTCTGCGTTTAAAAACAATCTAATGTTAGCACGGATTTCAACTTTACCATTGTTTGAATGCCTTACCACTTATAAATGTCAGCCAAATTTTGACTAGTGGCTCAACATATTTGTGAAACAGGTCGATATTCAAACGTAGCTTTAGAAGTAAAAGGCCACACTTATTTGAGGCCTCGGAAAGGATACTTTATTGAACAGCTTTTTTCAAACTTAAAGAGAAAAAATGTAATACCTGTAACTGAGCCTCGGTTTGGGTTATGTTACGGAATCTTAGCCCGCAAATGACATTTAAGCCGACCTCGCTTAGTTACACGTTAAGATTATGTTAGACAAGAGCTCCACGCATCTATATTCAATCTAAGGTACCCCCCCCCCCCCATATAGACTTCTTGGCAGTCATCTTTAGCAAGTATGTTCTCTTTATATATTTCATATAATTACATTTTTGTAATATGAAAGCTTTACTCAAAATTTTAATTTTGTGGCACATTTTATCTAAAAGAATGCTAACATTTTTTTCTGGAGAAAATATACTGCTCTTTAGTTTAGGTTGTTTAAATATTACTCAAATACAGATTGTTGATGAATACATTGTGTGTAAGGTTTGTTCATCTTGTTTAAGTAACTTGTATTTGATAATTGAAAATTACTAGGGTGTTATCAATTATTACATTCTGGTGCGTCTTTCAAACGATCATCAATTCTTGTGTATCTTTCAAATGTGTCATCAATTCTTGTGTTACTTTCAAACGTGCCATCAAAGTCTGTTTACGTCATCAATTCTTGTGTGCCTTCATGTATCTAATACGTCATAAATTCATGTGTAACTCTCGTATGTGCCATCGTTTAAATTACAAACTAGAATTTGTTATTTTTTTAAGATATTTACCCCATAGTGATAATCTTTTGAAAAGGTGATGCAATTCAGTGTAGGGTCGCATAATTGGTACAAATGTTGATATTATCATGAAATTTACCTATTATTCTGATCACCAACGTCCATGTTCTTCGTGGTCCCTTTTCCGGGTACAAACGCAAGAATTCAGCAAATACAAATATTAGAAAACAATCGGTATTAACACTACATCCTGCTAGACGGCTTGTCTGGTATGTACTACGATGAGGCAGACAGCATCTTCTTGACGATACAGCCAATTCGTACATGAAACTGACCACCACTGGTCAAGCTAGAACATATCGACACATGTCAATAATAAATGAGCTTATACGAGCATTAAGTGTAAACAATAATCGCCTCTATCTTGTGGTCAAGGTGAGTACACGGAGATGAGGGTCAATCGTTAATATTTCATCAACCTACGATAGTGTTTTTTTTGCAAATAATATGATCGGAATAGATGATATCGCGATCAGTGGAACTCTTCAAATAGGAGGGGATTAAACTACTCGATGGGGCAACGGATAGAAACAACATAGCAGCGCCAACACATTCATATACGAGTTTCCGCGAACTTCCATATAGTGATTTTTGGTAATATTTTAAAATCAAAAGGTATCACCTTCTCTAAATAAGAAGAAGAGGGAGCTAGTCCACCTATCATATAAAATTGGCCAGAAGTATTGTAAGAGTTATTTCCCTTTATTCATATAGGTCTACAGTGTACANTCTTTATACCATTATGTGCTCGGAATAAAACGTCGAGAGAACCCAGCCAGCGCTTGTGTTATTTATTTAAAAATACAAGAACTGTAACAATAGCGCCCACGTAGCCTCGGCATATTTGTATATTTATAACAATTTGCGCCGTTCTATTGGGACATTTTTACCGAGAGTCTATGTGAACCCCTAAAACATGTAAAATTACTCTGAACACCTTAGTTTAGGTCCAACTATAGCTGTAACAAATGCTCAGGTCCATGTAGACCCTGACTGTCGCGGCCACAATGCGTAGTAGTAATAACAAGAGGCCCAATGGGCCTGCATCGCTCACCTGGTATAAAAGTCACACTTGTAACCTTAAAAGTGATCTCAAATAAAGCTACAGGCAAAATATCAGTATTTATGATTAAAATTCATTCAAAAGACCCCGTTGATTTTTTTAAAACATTTCACCCCTGTGATTGAAGTCGAACAAAGTCATTATGTTGAACACATTGTATAGCCTTTCATCTCAGGATGCAACTTGCAAAGTATAAACATCCTGGGACCCATGGTTATTCATAAGAGGTTGTTTAAAGATTTAAAACAAATGTGACCCCTGTGACCTTGAATATAAGTCAAAGTCATTCACTTTAACAAATATAGTAGTCCTTGATCCCAGCATATGCTACTGACTAAATATCAACATCCTGAGCCTTTTGGTTATTCAGAACAAGTCGTTGAAATATTTTGAACATATTTGCTCCTTGTGATCTTGAATATGATTCAAGGTCATACATTTAAACAAACTTGGTAGCCCTTCATCTCAGCATCCTACTGGCCAAATATCATCACCCTGTGCATTTTGGTTATTCAGAGGAAGTTGTTAAATGTTTTTCACATATTTGACCCCTGTGACCTTGAAAAAAGGTGAAGGTCATTCATTTGAACAATCTTGATGTCCTTTATCCCAGCATGCTACTGGCCAAATATCATCACCCAGGGCATTTTGGTTATTAAGAAGTTGTTGAAAGTTTTTAACATATTTGACCCCTGTGACCTTGAATATGGGTGAAGGTCATTTAATGAACACACTTTGTAGCCCTTTATCTCAGCATGCTACTGACCAAATATCATTACCCTGGGCATTTTGGTTATTGAGAAGAAGTTGTTTAATTTTTTTAACATATTTGACCCCTGTGACCTTGAATATGGGTGAAGGTCATTCATTTGAACAAACTTTGTAGCTCTTCATCTCAGCTCGCTACTCGCCAAATATCATCACTCTGGGCATTTTGGTTATTGAGAAGAAGCTATTTAAAGTTTTTAACATATTTGACCCCTGTGACCTTGAATATGGGTAAAGGTCATTCATTTGACCAACTTTTGTAGCCCTTCATCTCAGCATGCTACTGACCAAATATCATTACCCTGGGCATTTTGGTTATTGAGAAGAAGCTCTTTAAAGTTTTTAACCTATTTGACCCCTGTGACCTTGAATATGGGTAAAGGTCATTCATTTGACCAACTTTTGTAGCCCTTCATCTCAGCATGCTGCTGGCCAAATATCATCAAACTTGGTAGCCCTTCATCAAAGCATGCTACTGGCTAAATATCAATACCCTAGGCCACTTGGATATTGAGGAAAAATTTATTTAAAGATTTTAAACATATTTGACCCCTGTGACCTTGAAAATTGGCAAAGGTCAATCATTTTAAGTTTGGTAGTGCTTTATCCAAGCATGCTTCAGGCCAAATATCATCAACCTTGGCCTTTTGGTTATTCAAAAGAAGTCGTTTAAAGGTTTTAAACTTATTTGACCCTCTGTGACCTTGAAAATGGGCAAAGGTCAATCATTTTAAGTTTGATAGTGCTTTATCCAAGGATGCTTCTGGCCAAATATCATCAACCTGAGCCTTTTGGTTACTCAAAAGAACTCGTTTAAAGGTTTTAAACATATTTGACCCCCTTTGACCTTGAAAATGGGCAAAGGTGATTCATTTTAACAAACTTCGAAGCCCTTCATCCAAGCATGCTTCTGGCTATATATCATCATCCTGGACCTCTTGGTTATTCAGAAGAAGTCGTTTAAATATTTCAAACATATTTGACCCCTATGACCTTGAATATAGGTCAAGGTCATTCATTTGAACAAACTTCAAAGCGTTTCATCCAATCATGATACTAGCCAAATATCAAACCCTAGGCCTTCTGGTTACTGAGAAGTTGTTTAAACATATTTGACCCCCTGTGAACATGAACAAACTTGGTAGCCCTTCATCCCAGCATCTCTCTGGCCAAATATCATCTCCCTGGGCCTTCTGGTTATTCAAAAGAAGTTGTTGAAAGATTTTAACATATTTGACCCCTGTGACCTTAAAATGGGCAAAGGTCATGCATTTGAACAACATTTTTAGCCCTTCATCCGAGCATGCTACTGGCCAAATATTATCACCCCGACAGATGGAGGGACGAACGACTCTGCATCAAGGGCCAAGTGAACTAATAACAACATGGAGACATTTTCCAAACATTCATATCATTTTATTGAATATCACCAACAATTTCATGTAACTACGAAGATGAGTGGCACATATCACTATGAGCATTGTACGCACTGGACTGGATACGATATTACATCAAAGGTCACGTGACAGCAGTGTCGAAGGGGACTGATCAACAGTTTAAGTCAACACACAGTTGACCTGTCGTGATTTACATGCCATTTAAATAGGAGGTCACCAGCGAGATGCACACCTGTTTCGTTTGTTGGACCATGCGTCTGGTCCATCTCTCTAAGCTTTTCGTTTCAATTTTTTTCAGGCAGGTAAATATGAACTGTATAATGTTGTGCTTTATAAACCTTTAAACAATTCAGCTCCATCATTTGTGAACATACTCCGACCCCAACTGAATCTTTACCGTTACCTTTGCTCGACCGAGCTCCTCGATCTATTTTCTGTGTTAACACAGCCATAAATCGTAACATATTTATAATAAGGTTAATGTTTACATATTATCTGAACAAAATACAATTTGAGCAATAATTGAGTAGGGAATGCAATCCATCAAACACGGAAACATTTGTTCTTAAATATGGTGTTAGGCGCTTCAATAGTCAATATTTTAAATTTTCCTTGAAAATCAAATCACTTGTATTCGAAACAAAATAATGTTCAAAAAATTATTTGCATTAAATCACTGATTTTGTTTTTATTTAAGAGATCATGAATTTCTATTAACAAACCATTGTTTGCAATCATTTTTTTAAATTAATATTACATTATAATGAGGTAAGGAATACATTTTTGTATCCTGACACTTTTAAAATTAATGCCAGAGTCCAATCCCAATCAGTACAAACAATTTCTATGCAAATTTGATATTTCAAGATAAAAATGGTTTAATTTGTGTGCAAATACAATTATTTCAATGCACAGCTAAAATAACGAGCATTGCACCGCCTACCACACAAATACACCATAACTGAATAATGAGTTCTGCATGGACAGCGAAATAAAAGCTCTCCTTCAATCATCGAGATTCTTGATAGCAATGCCATTGCAAGCCAGGCTAGTCTAGGCATACACATGAATTTACCTAAAATATCAATATCTACAAACATTTAAACAGAAGACAATAAAAATTGGGAAATGGTCAAACCGAGATATAACTACAAAATATTACAATTTTTTAAGTTTTCCCTCAAAAAAACACAACCAAGTACCACATCAAATCTGCACACCGATGTAACTGAGTAAATGAAACATCAAGATACATAATGATATAATTCTGTACTAAGTTCCTTAACGCATTCACCCCCAAAGACATAATTGAACTCTTCCAAATCAAAGGTTGGAACAGTTCATTATGAAATTTCAGGGTCGAATGAGGTAATAAGTTTTGTAACATGTCACACTTCAAGTTCATATTGTGTTATTCCGTCTTTGCGTATTGCAGAGTTATCTTCTCTTGGGAGCAGGTATTGATTGTTACTCATTTGTTTCTGAGAGTAACGTCATCAATTTTTGAGAAAACGACGTCATTTTCTCACACGAACCAATGACGTAACAATTAATACCTGCTCGCAAGAGAAGATAACTCTGCAATACGCAAAGACGGAATAATTGAACTACATATACCGATTAATGGAAGGTGATGTCTTTTCTATTAAACTCAATCCACTTTTAATTCGATTTCTTTTCACAGATGGCATCTGTTGAAAGTTTCTATCTTTCCGATACTGAAATATATACAGATCGCCTTTAACATTTAAATGTTGCACGGAAAGCATGTTCAACCCTTTCACCACTGTAGACCATAAACGACTCACCCAGATAAATGTAAAGTAGAGTCTACTAAGTTATCTAGGGGTGAAAGAGTTAACAAAGCAACATCACAATATAAATAGGATACTTCTGGTCACAGCCCAGAGTTAGCGGAATAGGTAAAAGACAGTG